TAGTTCCAACAGACCTCACTACCTCTGAGGATGCTTGCCATAGATGCAGGCGAAACGTCAGGAGAGAATGCCTCTAGACCATGGTCATATAGCCCGAAAAAACCTACAACAACCCATATAGGACTATGTTTCCAGTTTAACTTCCATGGCTGCATCCTGTTGAAGCCTGGGGTTTTGCAGTTTGGAGGAGGACTCAGTTTGGTGGCGAATTTCAGTGCCTAGATCAGTGTTTCTCAACCTTCCTAATGCCACAGCCCCTTAATACAGTTCCTCATGTAGTGGTGACCCCCAACCATAAAATTATTTTTGTTGCTACTTCATAACTATAATTTTGATACTGTTATGAATCATAATGTAAATATCTGATATGCAGGATGTATTTTCATTCACTGGACCAAATTTGGCACAAATACCTATACGCTCAAATTTGAATATTGGTGGAGTTAGGGGTGGGAGAGATTGTATTTGTCATTTGGGAGTTGTAGTTGCTGGGATTTATAGTTCCCCTACAATCAAGGAGCATTCTGAATTCCACCAATGATGGAATTGAACCAAACTTGGAGAACGGAACTCCCATGACCAACAGAAAATACTGGAAGGGTTTGGTGGACACTGATCTTGAGTTTTGGAGTTGTAGTTCACCTACATCCAGAGAGCACTGTGGACTCAAACAATGATGGATCTGGACCAAACTTGGCACGGGTACTCAATATGCCCAAATGTGAACACTGGTGGAGTTTGGGGGAAATAGACCTTGACATTTGGGAGTTGTAGTTGCTGGGATTTATAGTTCCCCTACAATCAAAAAGCATTCTGAACCTCGCCAGTGATAGAATTGGGCCAAACTTCCCACACCAAACCCCCATGACTAACAGAAATTACTGTGTTTTCTGATGGTCTTTGGTGACCCCTCCAGCGGTCTCGACCCCAAGGTTGAGAAACGCTGGCCTAGATACTACTATTTTATTGGATGGAGTCATGGCAGTTAATGTGGGATCTGTGCTGTAATTGTGTAGTGGAAGATTCCCCGGTCACCACCTGCTTTCTTTAAAAGCAAATGGTTCTTAGTGGATGGAAAGAACAAAGGTTTCGATGCAGTCAAGGAAGAGGTAATAATTCCGATTTTGAAGTCTTTTGAGAAGATGTGATTACAGGCCTCTTTCCCGAAGAGCCATTGTGTCTTAGCCTGTCTGGTAATTTTGAAGTTCTCAGAATTCTGTGCCAATTTCTAGGTTTACTGACAGCCCAGCCTGAAACCGCTTTTGAAGTGTTTATGAGAGGAGTTTTGACAGGGAAGGGAATGCTCCCTCGCCTTTCATCTGCGGAGGAGGTGCTGCTGATATTCAGGGTGGGACATCTTAATCCCTCCCTTGGGATCCAAGCCAAGGTGTCTGGTCTTGCTTAGACAGCACAGAGAGAGAAAGAGAGAGAGAGCGCGCATAGGCTTATACGTTTTTAAAATGCTGCTTCCCCACAGTCTTCCCCTCTCATGACAATTTGCCCGGAAGAAAGTGCGTAAAGGGTATTTATTTATCATGTCATCAGCAACCATACCATTGTATTACATTTCTAACAGAACAAAACAAACACACAGATTAAAAAACAAAAACAAAACAAAAAACAACAACAACAACACAGATTTTGCGAACTTGGTAGTTGGTTAAATGTCCTTTGACCAGTATCTGGCCACTTGGATAAAGTGGGCGCTAGAAACAACATCATACGAAAGCTGACTGGCACAACCTGGGAATCACAACCAGACACAGTGAAGACATCTGCCCTTGCGCTATGCTACTCTGCAGTTGAATACGCATGCCCAGTGTGGAACACATCTCACCACACTAAAACAGTAGATGTGGCTCTTAATGAGACATGCCTCTGGTGTTGCCGCAAGAAGGTCCTCCATTGTGCATGTGGCAGGGCTCAGGGTGCATTGCAGCAGGTGGTCAGTGGTTTGTTCTTCACCGCACTTGCACGCCGTGGATTCCACCCTGTAGCCCCATTTCTGAAGGTTGGCCTCTGCATCTCGTGGTGCCAGAGGGCAGTCTGTTCAGCGCCTTCCAAGTCGCCCAGTCTTCTGTGTGCCCAGGGGGGAGTCTCTCATCTGGTATCACCCATTAATTGAGGTGCTGGGTTTGGGCCTGCCACTTTTGGACTCTCGCTTGCTGAGGTGTTCCAGCAAGTGCCTCTGTAGATCTAAGAAAACTATATCTTGATTTAAGTCGTTGACGTGCTGCCTGATACCCAAACAGGGGATGAGCTGGAGATGTCTCTGCCTTGGTCCTTTCACTATTGGCTGCTACTTCCCGGCGGATGTCAGGTGGTGCAATACCGGCTAAGCAGTGTAATTTCTCCAGTGGTGTAGGGCGGAGACACCCTGTGATAATACGTCATGTCTCATTAAGAGCCACATCTACTGTTTTAGTGTGGTGAGATGTGTTCCACACTGGGCATGCGTATTCAACTGCAGAGTAGCATAGCGCAAGGGCAGATGTCTTCACTGTGTCTGGTTGTGATTCCCAGGTTGTGCCAGTCAGCTTTCGTATGATGTTGTTTCTAGGGCCCACTTTTTGCTTGATGTTCAGGCAGTGCTTCTTGTAGGTCAGAGCACGGTCCAAAGTGACTCCCAGGTATTTGGGTGTGTTGCAAAACCAGAAGCGTAAAGGGTAAGGATGCAATAGTGATCCATGTGCAGAAGTGTAAGATCATAATAATATAATGTAATGTAATCTATAGTGTGTGTGTGTGTATGTGTATATATATGTATATATGTATATATGTATATAATATTTATAATTTTGTAATGTAATACAATATAATACTACTAATAATAATATGATAATATAATTATATATTTTATATTACAGGTAATATTACTAATAATATTACAATATTATGGTATGGTACAATATAGCAATATATTGTACCAAATAAAGAGTTTTTACTAACCCTATCAAACTGTTTAAAAAAGAAAGAAAGAAAAGAGAGTACTCATAAATCAGGCATGACTTGAAGGAACAACAACAAACTAATCTGGATTTGGAGAGCAACGCACTCAAAGTCAGTAGATAGGAAACATTTTCCGACCTTTCCACAATTATAAGTGGGATGTCATTAATTATTAAGTATATTATTTCAGTTTTACTGGAACAGGGCTACCTCCTCCCTCTTGTGGAAAAGCTGTGCAATAGCAAACATCCTTCACAGATGACTTAGAAGAATGTCCCATCTTACCCAGCATCTTGTTTGCAAGTGCAACCAACCAACCAATCAGCAGGGAAGCCCACAAACAGGGCATGTAAAGCCAGCATCTCCTTCCACTTTGCAGGATCTAATCTTCAGGGTAATCTACTCCTTAAGCATGGTCTCTGGCATCAAACACTCAATAGCAGAGTCTTTAAGACTTTTTTTCTGCCATGTATGTACATCTATATCTACTTTATAGGTAGTATGATCCCCATATCTGTGAAATCTATATGTGCAGTTTCACGTAAAGGTAAAGGTTTCACCTGACATTATGTCTAGTCGTGTCAGACTCTGCTCATCTCCATTTCTCAGCCGAAGTGCCGGCATTGACCATAGACGTCTCCTAGGTCATGTGGCCAGCATGACTGCAAGGAGCGCCGTTACCTTCCCACGGAAACGGTACCTATCGATTTACTCACGTTTGCATGTTTTCGAACTGCTAGGTTGACAGAAGCTGGGGCTAACTGGGAGCTCATCCTACTCCCAGGATTCAAACTGCCAATCTTTTGGTCAGCAAGTTCAGCAGCTCAGTTGTTTAATTCCCTGCGCCACCAAGGGCAGTATCACTTTCATTCAAAAGAAAGAAAAGTCCTTTTTGATATTTTCTAGATCTGCAGCACATTAATGCTTCTGCTAGAAGTTGGCCATAGAGTTGCACTGGTGGATATAGAAACGTTGTTCTCTATAGGCATTTTCCGAGTCTGTATTTTCTGCAGATAAGGGTTAATACTATATTCTAATATGTGATTAAATACATTTACTGCAGTCAGGAAATAAAATGTGCAGTAAGAATTAGTTTTTTGTGCAACCAGGACCATTAGAAAGGTTTCAAACTGGGGTTTCAATTACTATTTATTATTTATTTGTATACCGCTTTTCTCACCCTGAGGTGGACTCAAAGCCATTTACACATAAGTAATGGCAAAATTCAATGCCAGTACAAACAATTACAATTATACACTACAATTAGACATAAATCAAGTTAAAAACAATACATCCACAAGCAATAAATGGGATGTGGATATCCCCGTGGCCTCATCAGCCAGATGTAATAGCCACATGTGGTCTTCCTGAGGAGATATATTGAGTTTTTTGAGATGTACAAATGGAATCTGAACAGAAGTTATCAGTGTCATTCTTGTTTTTGGTTTCCACCATTTTCCCTATATCAGGCAGCAGTCTTAGGAGTCTTATTTTCAAAAAATAGCAGGTTATCTCTTTAATTTGTATATTCCTTGGCCTTCATAACTATTAATTTTAACTGCTAGGGTTTGTGAATGTGCTTCTGGGATTTTCTGCCTCAGGTACCAGAAGTCCTTCTCATGGCTTCACCAAACATGGCAGTAATGGGGGTAAGACCAAGAGAAAGCCCTCCCTCAAATATGTGTAGTTTCTTAGAGGAAAATAGGGGTATCTGGCCTTTATGGTATAATGGTCTAAGTGTTGGACTAATACTCTGGAGAATCCACATTTGGCCATGGAAACTTACTGGGTGACCTTCAGGAAGTCACACTCTCAGCCTCAGAGGGCGGCAACTGCAAACCTCTTCTGAACATATCTTGCCAAGAAAATTGTGTGATAGGTTCACCTTAAGGTTATCGGATGTCAGAAATGAATTGAAAGCACACACTACCAACAACAAATTATATTTATGAGTTTCTGCTCAGATGGCTGAACCCGGCTTCAGTCTCAGCAGAGGTGCAACCTTCCCTCCTCCTGACCACCTAACCTCTGTACTCCATCTTTTCCTGCAGGTGGTCAAGGTCTACAGCGAAGATGGTACTTGCCGCTCTTTGGAAGTCACGGCAGGAACCACAGCACGTCATGTCTGTGAGATGCTGGTACAGAAGACCCAAGCCTTGCATGATGACTGCTGGTCCCTGGTAGAGGTCTATCAGCACTTGGCTCTCGGTGAGAAATAAGAGGGGTATTTCTCCAAAACCATGATTAGTAGAGAGTAGGGATGCTGTTTTTAATTTCCTGTGGGAGAGATAAAGCAGGCAATAATAAAAATAATAATAATAATAATAATCCAGGTGATAGCAGGATTGAAGAGAAACAACTGGAAAAGCTGACACGATATGAGGATTTAAAGATCGAACTGCAAAGACTCTGGCACAGGCCAGTCAAGGTGGTCCCAGTGGTGATCGGCACACTGGGTGCAGTGGCTAAAGACCTTGGCCTGCACTTAAACACAATCGGCACTGACAAAATTACCAGCTGCCAGCTGCAAAAGGCCATCTTACTGGGATCTGCATGCATTATTCGCCGATACATCACACAGTCCTGGACACTTGGGAAGTGTCCGACGTGTGATCCAATACAACAGCCAGCAGAATGTCTGATGTGGACTCATCTTGTTGTGTTTCAATTATTATTATTATTATTATTATTATTATTATTATTATTATTATCAATAATAATAATAATATTTTGGATTATTGATGTCGCCATACCAGGTGACAGTTGCATTGAGGAAAAACAACAGGAAAAACTCAGCCGTTATCAGGACCTCAAAATAGAACTGAAAAGGCTCTGGCAGAAACCAGTACAGGTGGTCCCAGGGTAATCAGCACACTGGGTGCCGTGCCAAAAGATCTCAGCTGGCATTTGGAAACAATAAACATTGACAAAATCACGATCTGTCAACTGCAAAAGGCTACCTTACTTGGATCTGTGCATCATTCAAAAATACATCACACAGTCCTAGACGCTTGGGAAGTGTTCGACTTGTGATTTTGTGATACGAAATCCAGCATATATATCTCGTTTGCTGTGACACACTGTGTTTTTGTGTCAGTAAAATAATAATAACAACAACAATAATCTCAGGAGAGTAGAATTGTCAAGTCAGAGGCATCCCAGGTCGTCAGATTTCATGGCCTAAACTTCACACCAAAATAAAGTGCCTGATGATATCATGGAGGGTTGAGCCTCGTGATGCTATTAAAAACATACGTTAAATATTAACTACAGTTGCTTTGAGTATGACGTTCAAGTACAAAACACTAGACAAGAAAATTAGAAGAATGAAGAAAAGCAAATGAGATTTCTCAAGAGTCTACGGTACCCATTCTAAAGTTGTCTGGAACAACAACATCAAAATCCTTTTTGTTTGCAAGGGCAGTACTCTTGCCCTGAGATTCCTTTCCTGATCTTGAGGCTCAGAAACAAGAGGCAGGACTTCTGGAAACTACTCTAGGGCTAAATTGTATGTATGTAAGTAAGACACAGGACCACCACAAGACTGTAAAACTTGTGAATTAAAAATGCAAGGTCTTCCAGCAAAACTCTGTTGTCAACTTCTGCTGGAGGTTGACTCTAGAGTCACACTGGAGGACCTAGACATTTCTAGACAGAACATCTTAATCAAATCAATGGATAATCAAATCTGCGAAAGTAAAATTTGCAAATGTGGGGGGCTAACTACAAATATAGGAACTGTGTTCTAAATCAAGGCAGTCCAGTGAATGTTCTAGATCAGGCCTGCACAACCTGTGACCCTCCAGGTCAGTGGTTCTCAACCTGGGGTCCCCAGATGTTTTTGGTCTTCAACTCCCAGAGATCCTAATACCTGGTAAACTGGCAGGGATTTCTGGGAGTTGTAGGCCAAAAACATCTGGGGACCCCAGGTTGAGAACCACTGCTCCAGGTGTTTGGGACTCCAACTCCCAGGAGCCCTAGCCAGCTTGTCCAGTAGTCAGGAATTCTGGGAGCTGAAGTCCAAAACACATAGAGGATCACAGGTTGTGCAGGCCTATTCTGGATAAATAATGACATTTCCTGGATCTGAGCAGTCTGAACCAAAACAAAAATATAATACAGTTTACTTACTAGGTAAATATAGACTTCTTCTTGGACTGAAACAACCCAAAGGGGGAGCATAATAAAATTCTTCCCACATTTCTGAGGACATAGGGGACACTTAAATATTTTAAAATTAAATAATAAAAATAATTAAGGGTGCCGCCCTCCAAGTCTTGTTGGGGCCCAGTGTAGACTCCTGTCAATTGGCATTTGTCTACGACTGCCTTATGCTGTATCATACTACCGCATCAGTCAGGGTACTTTTCCCCATCGTAGGCTGCTTCTTCTCCCCTTTTGGGATGGAGCCCATTACACAATGCATGTGTATTTCTGGTCAGGCTCCATCCAAGGTAAGAAGAAGCCACTTGGAGATGTTTCCCCCATGGGATGGGGGTCTCTTTAAGTCATCCCTTGCCGGGAACCCATGAATTTGCCATGATGTGTGATGAATTCATGGATCTTTGTAATGAAGTCCTTACTTAGCTTGTGTGCAAACTCAGCACTACTTTAAAAAGCCATTGTTAGCTCCATCATCCAAATGAGAAGTAAAATAATGTTAAGCCGTCCTGTACTCTGTTTCTTTTTGTTCCTCCAGAGCGGTATCTGGAAGACCATGAGTCAGTGGTGGAGGTTCAGGCCACGTGGCCCGTTGGAGGGGACAGTAGGTTTGTCTTCCGGAAGAACTATGCCAAGTATGAGCTGTTCAAGAGCTCACCGGTAAGTGGGATCGACGATCAAGCCAGAAGGGAAAGGTTTATTCCCCCGCCCCAGTATGATTCTGATCCATTCTTTAACAGATTTCTAATTTCATAATCTTTCATTTTATTTGAACTGGAATGGTATCCTTTAACATTTCTGCTTAGTCAAAAGGTGCAGCTTCCACTTAGGCTGGATATACACTGCCCTATATCCCAGTATCTGACTCCAGATAATCTTCTTATCCCAGATTATCTGGCAGTGTAGACTCATATAAAGAAGTGCCAAACAGATAATTGGGACCAGATCCTGGGATATAGGGTAGTGTAGATCCAGGCTTAGACCTCATATAGCAAGCCATAGATTCTGCAATGTTTTAGTTTTCTGCATTTCCACATCACTGAAGTCATAGCTCTTTTTTGTGGTGTCAGGAACGACTTGAGAAACTGCGTCGCTTCTGGTGTGAGAGAATTGGCTGTCTGAAAGGATGTTGCCCAGGGGATGCCCGGATGTTTTACCATCCTTGTGGGAGGCTTCTCCCATGTCCCCAAACGGGGAGCTGGAGCTGACAGAAGGAGCTCATCCGTGCTCTCCCCAGATTCGAACCTCTGACCTGTCGGTCTTCAGTTCCACCAGCACAAGGGTTTAACCTACTGCACCACTGGGGATGCCTGAATTTATTAACATAAAAACACATCTCTTTAATTTATAGGAAACTTGAGTTGCGTTGATGCTGATCTTTAATTTTATATTGAGTATGTTAGAGTTCTCCAAACTTTGGGATGAAATAACATTTTAAAGTGGGTAGACAAAAGAACTTGCAATAAAAACAGCATAATTTTCCCCTCTCTGCTGGCAGGACAACTAGAAATGTGTTTTTATCTTTAGTGTAAGCATTCAGGGCTCCCCCTCCCCATAAATGGCATTTAAAATCAAATGTGTGAGAAGAAGTTATCTTATGTGTGTGACAGCTCAATGCTATCCTTGTTTGGTTCATTTTGCAAAGTTCACCCCTTTTCTTTCTCCCTATTTGCAGCAGTCACTCTTCCCTGAAGTCATGGTCTCCAGCTGCCAAGATGCAGCCGACAAAGGCATGTCCCACTCAGAAATCGTCCAGGTATTATCCTATTTCTTTCTCCGTTGTTGTTAGAAACACTGTATGCTAGCTGTGATGATACCATTACATTGCTGAGCAGGACTTCAAGCCCACGTTTCCCTGGTTGTAGTCCACCTCTCTCAATCTCTAAATTCTGTGCTGCACTGGCTCTTATCTTTTCACACAATCCCACAATGTAGCAATTTGTTTCTATTTCTGCAAGCATCATCTTAGTTGCATGGTCTAGAGCAGGGGTCCTCAAACTATGGCCCAAGGGCTGGATGCGGCCCTCCAAGGTCATTTACCCGGCTCTCGCTCAGGGTCAACCTAAGTCTGAAATGGCTTGAAAGCAAACAACAACAACAACAACAATCCCATCTCATCAGCCAAAAGCAGGTCCACACTTCCCATTGAAATACTAATAAGTTTATATTTGTTAAAATTGTTCTTTATTTTAGTTATTGTATTGTTTTTAAGTGTGTGTGGTTTTTTTTGCACTACAAATAAGATATGTGCAGTGTGCATAGGGATTCATTCATGCTTTTTTCAAATTATAATCTGACCCTCCAACAGTTTGAGGGACTATGACTTTGCCCTCTGTTTAAAATGTTTGAGGACCCCTGGTCTAATGATTCTTTGTTTTTAGATCAGAGCTATTACGACAGTTCTTTTAGCTATAGATCCCATGACATTGCCCTTGTCTTCCCTATGGATTTCAATCTACTTGGGATGTAAATCTTAATTTATTTTAGTCATAGACTCAAGAAGAGAAAATGTCAAAAGCTTTCTCTGTGCTTTGAGAAATATCAGGAGAGTGTTTTCAGTTTGCAGTCATTTTTTTAATATTTGGGGGTATAATTTAGTGAAAATTTCTCAGAGGTTCTCTAGACAAAATTTCACTTTTCTTGCTCAAAACCGAATTTTTTTAGCTGTAGCTAGCTGTTGATGATGAGAGAAAGTGGCCTGAGGTCGAGGGAATTTTAGTGGAACATGTTGTATTTATTAACTTTGTTGTATATAGTTTATGTATTTGTGCTATTTATTTATCAGTTTTATTTTGCTTTTGTGTTGTGTAATTGTCTGCCACTTTGAGTCCCAGCCTTGGGAGAAAAGCAGGATAACAATAACAATAACAATAATAACTTGTGCCACAAATACCATCTGTCAGCGACAAAGAACTGGTGGGATCACAAGCTGGAAAAAGTTACAGAGAATGAACACGCCAAACTCCTCTGGGACTTCCGGATTCAGACAGACAGAGTTTGGGAGCATAATACTCTTGACCTCACAATCGTGTTAAAAAATCAAGTATGGATCGTCAGTGTCACAATCCTAGGTGACAGCAGGATTGCAAAGAAACAACTGGAAAAGCTGACATGATATGAGGATTTAAAAATCGAACTGCAAAGACTCTGGCACAAACCGGTAAAGGTGGTCCCAGTGGTGATTGGCACACTGGGTGCAGTGGCTAAAGACCTTGGCCTGCACTTAAACACAATTGGCGCTGACAAAATTACCATCTGCCAGCTGCAAAAGGCCACCTTACTGGAATCTGCACACATTATTCGCCGATACATCACACAGTCCTAGACGCTTGGGAAGCGTCCGACGTGAGATCCAATACAACAGCCAGCAGAGTGTCTGCTGTGGACTCACCTTGTTGTGTTTCAAATAATAATAATAATAATAATAATAATAATAATAATAATAATAACAACAACAACAACAACAACAACAACAACAACAACAATAATGCTGCCCTTTTGCTCTCATGCTGGAACAAATACCCTAAAGTCACCAAATCCCATCTAATCTAGGAGGCTAATTAGGGTTAGCTCTGGTTCGTACTTGGGTAGGAGATCATCAATGAAAACAAAGTGCTATGACTATATTTAAGAGGACAGAAATGGCAAACTACCTTTGTATGTTCCTTACCTAAGCAAACTGTGAAATTCATTTGAGGGTCACCATGAGTCAACAGGTAACTTGAAAGTCCATGGACATACACAGGGAAACAATCTTCAATAGCTGATACTTTTTAAGCCCTTTCAAACGGAGAATTAGAATATTTCTAAATATTCTTGTCAGTTCTGATCATGCATTGCCTTTTAAAGTGAAGCCATCAATGGGACAGCTAATGTCAATTGTCTTCTACTCCCGGCATCCTCACCACCACCTCATTCCTCCTCCTGTTTTTGGTTTCTGCCTTTCAGAATGTTCTAAATTCAGGCAGCTGCCCTGAAATCCAAGGCTTCCTGCACTTAAAAGAAGTTGGGCGTAAAGTATGGAAAAGGTTTTACTTCTCTCTACGGCGCTCAGGGCTCTATTACTCAACAAAAGGCACATCAAAAGTAAGATTATGTGTAAGCTAAATGTGTGGGATGTTTGCTTGAAGTTGTTACTGGAGTCTTGGGTTTGCTTGTTTTTAAAAAAATTCAAAGTGACATTTCTGTTTTCCTGAGCTGTTTTCTGGCAATTCCCAGTACTAGGTATAATATTTTGTATTCACCCCTAAGTAGGTCATTTTCGAATAGTGGTCAACATAGACAGGCTGAGAGATTACTCTTCAAACTGTAGGATTGTCTCAGCAAAATATGGTCTGTTAAAAAAAGAATCTTTAGCAAAACCTAGTACATAGTCAGACTTGGCCACAGTGGTCCACGCTCTCGTTACATCCAGGATAGACTACTGCAACACGTTCTACATGGGGCTGCCTTTGAAGACGGTTCGGAAGCTTCAAATAGTCCAATGAGAGGCAGCCAGGTTAATAACTGGGGCGGCATACAGGGACTCCCATATTAAGTCAGCTCCACTGGCTGCCTGTTTGCTACCAGGCACAATTCAAAGTGCTGGCTTTGGCCTATAAAGCTCTAAACGGTCCCTGCCCGGTTTACCTGTCTGAACGCATCTCCCTTTATGAACCACTGCGGAAAACTAAGATCTTCTGGGGAGGCCCTGCTCTCAGTCCCGCCACTATCACAGGTGCGTTTGGCGGGGATGAGAGACAGGGTCTTCTCAGTGATTGCCCCCCTGGTTATGGAACTCCCTTCCTGGCAATATTAGATCAGCCCCCTCCCTCCTATCCTTCAGAAGGATGGTGAAGACCTGGCTGTAGGACCAAGCCTTTGGGGCACTGCAGTGAGGCAAAACGGTATCCTGAGATGGTTTTTAAACAACTTTTAATGTGAATATAAGTGATTTTAATGTTTGTATATTTTTATGGTTTTATGTCCTGGCACTGAATGTTTGCGGTATATATGTTGTGTTCCGCCCTGAGGCCCCCGTGGGGTGAGAAGGGCGGAATATAAATGTTTTATATTGGGTTTAGTGTTTTTAAAGTTGTTTTTGTAATTGTGATATATGATATTTTAATGAGTGTATATGTTTTTTATGGCTGGAAACTGGGCTGAGTCCCTCAATGAGGTTGAGAAGCTCGGTATAGAAAACTGTGAAATAAATAATAATAAATTTAAATAAATAAATAAATATCCCCAAAATAATTGTAGCAGCCACCAAGTAGAATGGAATGAGTGGTCCCAGAGGCAACAATAATCTACAAATGCCACAGAGTAGGTTTGCAAGAATTCACATTTTTACACCAGTCTGGAAGAACCCTGTAGTAGATGGTTAGAAAAACTCATTACTGTGTTAGCTGGATACTCTTGAGCCCAATTTCCCACATATCGGTCAAGTTTCTGTCCTATGTAAGAACACGTTAGCTGTAATTAAATTATTTTTTTCTTAATACTAATAATGTGAATGGGATCTTGAAAAAGCTACTTTTTGATACTATACATTTCTAGAATCCTCCAGCAGTTTTCACACCTGTATCTTGAAACATTGCTGTGACTTGGGAAAAATTGTTTTGGGGCGAAGAGGAGGTAGAATAGTCCCCCATGCTATTAAGGAACACTCACTGATGTTTTTTTCTTGTTTCTCTTATGTCAGGACCCACGGCACTTACAGTATTGTGTTGACATAAATGAATCCAATGTCTACTACATTACCCAAGGCAAGAAACAGTACAGCACCCCAACTGAGTTTGGTTTTTGCATCAAGGTAAGAGGGTTGTGAAGCCTGGTGCCATTTGAAATATCAATTACATGTTTTGAGTACCTGAAATGAAACCTTATGGGACTTTTCAGCATGAATAAAGCAAAACACACCCACCCTGATTCAATACATTCTGGAATAGCAAATTAAAATTTAAATGAATATTTTGGAGACTTCTAATCACGGAGGCACATTTTTTTTCTGAGCTAAAATGGGAATCACCAGCTCCCAGTGGATGTTGTTTAACAAATATTCACAAAGGGTACACAGACACACACCTCTGTTTCTTCCCGGCAGGCCCGTAGCCAGGATTTCGTTTCCGGGGGGGGGGGGGGGTGAATTTTTTTCAAGGGGGGGTTTCGGGGGGGGGGCTGAGTTTCGGGGGGGGGCTGAGTCTGAGTGAAAGAGGGTCTAGCCTAGCAAACCTTTTGTATCATTACCCCAATACCCCCATGCATATGGGATATATTGAGTATGGTGATCAGATCATGATATGAATAAACATAACAGTTTAAATAATGTACCAGTAAGGCCTTCTCGCGGACCACCATGAGAATTTCGGGGGGAGGGGCTGAAGCCCCAAGCCCCCCCCCCCCCCCCCCGGCTACATGCCTGCTTCCCGGCATGCTTTCTAGTCGGAAAGGCGCATGTTCAGAGCAGTAACTCTAAAATATATGCAGCAAACATCATCCTCTGATTGGACAATCCTGTTGCATCTCTGAATTGGGAGCAACAGCATTTCCTAGTTAAGCTCTGGAGAGAGAAGGTAAGAAGTAGAACTTCTCTCCTGCAGAGTCTGATGAGAACTAAGCAAAGTCTAAATAATAAACAATGCAGAGATGCAGTCTTTGTGGATGAATCTTTTGAGAACCTATAATCATTTCATCTATGTATAGCCACATTGGCTGTTATCTCATAGCACACTAGTGTTGCTTTCCTCTTTCTGAGAAGAATAATGATGTGATTCATCAAGATGGGGAGGATGCATGTATAACAGGTATGGGATATGGCTTTCTAGATATTTTTCAACTACAACTACTATCACCCTCACTGTTTGCAATATTGGCTATTGTCAGTGACTATAGGCCTGTACTTACTTACTTAGGTGATCCCTTGTTGTCCGAGTAGGATTGTCTTCCAAGATCGGTGTACTGGCAGTGGGTACGCAGGTGACTGTGGAGCCCTAATCTTGATCTGCATGTTCTTCAGAAGTGAGGGCATTGGTTTCCAGGTTGAGGGCGGTCCAGGTCAGGGTTGGCTTGACGCACCTTCCTCTTGGCACATTTCTCTCTTTCGCCCTCCACTGAAAGAGAGAAACATGCCAGGAGGAAGGCGCGTCAAGCCAACTCCAACCGGGACCGTCTTCCACGTGGAAACCAGTGCCTTCACTGTGGGAGAAGATGCGGGTCAAGAATAGGGCTCCACAGCCACCTACAAACCCACAAAAATAGTCATCAAGGAAGACCATCTTACTTGTCTAACGAGGGATTGCCTAAGTAAGTAAGTTCTTTAAATCTCTTTTCCTGTCCACCAACATTCTGTTTTCCGTTCTTGAGTTTGGAGTAGAGCAACTGTTTTGGGAGATGGTGGTCGGACATCCGGACAACATGGCCGGTCCAGTGGAGTTGAGGGCAGAGGACCTATAGCCCTGTAATGTCTGGGAAACCACATGTTTTTCACTTCATTCATAAACAACACCATTCTGAAATGGAAGAGGAAATGCAGTTCTGTTAGAAGTCATTGTATATGTCTGATATGAGTCTTTGCTTGTTGCTCTGCAGCCCCACAAGACACGCAGCGGGGCAAAAGGCCTGAAGCTCTTCTGCAGTGAAGATGAGCAAAGCCGCACGTGTTGGATGGCTGCCTTCCGCCTCTTTAAGGTAGGGAGAAATTTGTTTATTACCAGCTTCTTTTCAATGCAAATAGCAGCTTAAAAATAAATTTATTCTCCCAACTACAGTGAGGAAACACAGCACCTGGGACACCAATAATGCAGGTCTCCACCTCAGCTGAGCATTTGCTTGGGTGTGGTTGGGGCTGAGACCATAATCCAGTGAACCTTGGTTATGGTGAGCAAGAGAAATAGCAGCACAATACAGAGCTTCCTCCTTCCTCATTGTAGTTGTGGTAAAAATTATTGTTTCCTTCTGGCCTTCTGCTGCATTTCCCTGTAGTAGCTACATGATTTATGTACATGTCTAAAAGCGAGTGGTGTAGTGAATTGACCAGGACTTTAGGAGACAAGGGCTTTAATTGCCATTCAGCCACGAAAACCTCTTGAGTGTCCTTGAAAATGTCACTCTTGCCAAAGGAACCATGCAATAGAGTTTCCATAAGTTGGGATCACCTTGAGGGCACAAACAACAACAAAATGCACATGTGTCCTTCTTCTTGCCCTGTCTTGTAAATATATGGACATGCAGAGATATTTATAATTCATATTCACCTTTTGCAGAAGTCGCAACCAATTTGTACAGTTGCGCCAATTGTGTTCTTTGTTAGAGCTAACTTTGGGGAATCTATGCCAGAGTAGGATGCAATTGTTAACAGGCTTGCCTGCCCTAGAGATGCTAATGGGGACAATTCTTTCTACAGTATGGCATACAGCTCTACAGGAACTACCAACAGTGTCAGGCACGGCAAAGGGAACCAACCTGGATTGGCACTGCACCTCTGGTAAGTGCCCTCTGATAATGACTCAGGGTACTTATAAAACTTGGAAACTATTTATTAGTTTCATGTGTAAAAGCATCAGTGAATTTATGCCACCAAACATCTAAGAAGGATTGTGGTTGAGTAATTTGTGAATACATTGCAATAATTTTATGTAATTGATAAAATTAGAATAATATAGAAGTAATAGAATTGACAGTGCTGTATTTTTATAATGCTATGTGAGTAGTGAGCACCAATATAGTAATATATAATAGTAATATTGTTCTATGCTAATTATGTAATATATTGTATATTATATTATTACTGCCCCCAGTGGCGCAGTGGGTTAAACCACTGAGCTGCTGAACTTGCTGACTGAATGGTTGGTTGTTCAAATCTGGGGACTGGGGAAAGTTACCACTGTTAGCCCTAGCTTCTGTCAACCTAGCAGTTTGAAAACATGCAAATGTGTGTAAATCAAGAGGAAGGCAGGAAGGTAACGATGCTCCATGCAGTTATGCTGGTCACATGATTTTTGAGGCATCTACGGACAACGCCGGCTCTTTGGCTTAGAAATGGAGATGAACACCACCCCTCAGAGTCGGACACAACTAAACTTAATGTCAAGGGGAAACCTTTACTTATTGTATATACATATAATATTGATAATGATATTATAATGTAATACAGTATCATGCTATTAATAATACAATCTGGGAATAAAAAGTGAGATAAATCATTTGTATTATGTTTCAAATGTTTAAATAAAAGTATTTAATAAATATTTAAAAGAGGGGGAGTCGCACTCTTCGCTATTTTGAGACTGCTCTGGGCTGTCAAGATTTTACGAAACCCATACTTTTAAGAAATGGAAAAGGGGAGTTACAATCTGTCACTAGGGACAGTTATCGTGCTATTAGATAATAATCCCTGACCCCTTTCTTTATAATCCCTTAGCAGAATATATCATATGTATTGCTGATCCTTTTTTTTGTCAACCCTTAGCGGAGTGTATCAGATAATACCTTGGTGGCCATGGACTTCTCTGGTTGCACAGGCCGTGTTATCGAGAACCCCAATGAGGCACTGTCAGTAGCCCTGGAGGAAGCTCAGGCATGGAGGGTGAGTCTTGTTTGCTTCCTACCAAGAGATGACAGACAGTGAAGAAGTTGAATGCTGGATTTGATTGACTTACTAGTGTGGATATTCAGATCTGAGATCTGGAGCAGAACAGTAGATCTCACCAACAACATGGCGAGGAGATTATTTTGATTTTATTCCATTGTGTCGTGTTTTAACATATGTTTTTTCCAGGCTTGTCCCTATGTAAGCCACCCTGAGTCCCTTCAGGGAGATGGAGGCAGGGTATAAAAATAAAGTTATATTATATCATTTATTTATTTATTTCCGTCATTTCTGCCCCACCTTTCTCCCACAAGGGGACTCAGGGCGGCTTTACATAAGCATATATACAACTGAACATTTAAATAGTCATTTTCCCAATTAGCCTGGAGAGAGGCAGGATTAATTCAAGATTTTGATACTTGTAAACATCCAGAGACCGTTTTTATAGTATTTATATGTTGATGGTATTTGGGTTTTATATATGATGTATTGTATTTTTACTTGTTTATGTATGCGGCATTGGAATTTGCCATATGGTGAGCCGCTTTCAAGTCCCCTTCGGGGTGAGAGAAAGCAGGATATAAATATAATAAATAAATAAATTAAATAAACAGCCCGCTTTCTTAGAGAAGCAAACTTTACATGTGATGACTTATATGGAAGGAAACTGGAGCTGGGAATCAAGTTCAGGGTGAAAAATGAAAAGAAAAATATGTATTAGGAAGTTACTATCTGAGAGTATGGATCCAATGAGGCAGCGGGACTAAGGAGGAAATGTGGAACAGAAGTGAAGGAAATCTTTTATCTAGCTATGAGTGTAGAAGGAACAGAACTACTCGTAACTATGCAAAGAGGAAAGGAGGTTAACTGTGCGCACACTGTTGCATTCTTCTTTTCTTCCAAAAATGTGAAGGTAGAAAACAGCATGTGATGAAGAACATTTTTCCCCAGCAAACTAAAAAACCCAGGATATATGGATGTCAAACTGCATTAATTCTACAGTGTAGATCAGCATTTCTTAACCTGGGGGTCAGGACTCCTGGGGGGAGGGGGTCATGAGTGGGGTGCCAGAGGGGTCGTCAAAGTCCATCAGAAAACACAGTATTTTCTGTTAGTCATGGCTTTTTTATGTGGGAAGTTTGGCCCTATTCTATTATTGGTGGGGTTCAGAATGCACTTTGATTGTAGGTGAACTATAAATCCCAGCAACTACAACTCCTAAATATCAAGATCTATTTCCCCCAAACTCCATCAGCATTCACATTTGGGCATATGGAGTATTTTGGTCCAGATCTATCATTGTTTGAGTCCACAGTGTTCTCTGGATGTAGATAATCTACAACTCCTAAACTCAAGGTCAATGGCCACCAAACCCTTCCAGTATTTTTTATTGGCCATGGGAGTTCTGTGTGCCAAGATTGGTTCAATTCCATTGTTGGTGGAGTTCAGAATGCTCTTTTATTGTAGGTGAACTGTAAATCCCAGCAACTACAACTCCCAAATGATAAAAATCAATTACCGACCCCACCAGTATGCAAATTTTGGCGTATTGGGTATTTACGCCAAATTTGGTCCAGTGAATGAAAATACATCCTGCATATCAGATATTTACATTACGATTCGTAACAATAGTAAAATTACAGTTATGAAGTAGCAACGAAAGTAATGTTATGGTTGAGGGTCACCACAACCTGAGGAACTGTATTAAAGGGTTGCGGCATTAGGAAGGTTGAGAACCACTGGTGTAGATGCACTCTCAAACTTTTAAGCTATCACAAGACAATTGAATGGCTTGTCTTTTTGAAACTTGTCTTAAATATTACTGGATTTTGTGGCTGTTCTACCTAGAGTAGGAAGGAGAATTAACAAATACATGGTAAGTGTTTAACATCTTTGAAATCACAATGTTTTTCTCTCCATGCTTCAGAAGAAGACCATTCACCGATACAGTCTTCCCACTCAGTTACAGAGCTCTCCGCTCAGTACTGGTGAGTACTTGTCACAAATAACTTATGCAACATGTTACCCCATCATTGCTGATGTGAAAACTTAGCTTAACTTCCAGTGACTCTTGATGAGAGCAAATTAGGGGATGGGTTAAGCAAGCCAGCTTACCCAGCATGGTGCTTCCTATAAATGGACCCTAGGTTTGGATCTTATTTGAAGGCAGAGTGTAACTGGCATTGGACTCTGGCACACACTGCAAATTCCTTCATACATTCAGGGAACATATGAAATGGGAAACAAGAGGAATGTGCATCTGAACCGTGTACAGACTGGAGCCACAGTCCAGCCCAGGAGCTGGCTTTTTGTGCCAATACTGGCATGTGTGAAATAATCAAAATGACAGCAAGGGCTCAGAGGGCATGCAGGCTGTCTTTCGCTTGCTAGTGCCAAAAGATCCAGCTCATCCCCATATTTCTTCCAGGAATCACGAACCTCTATTTTTTTCAGTGTAGTGATACCTGTCTGCAATGAGCAATGGGACATTCTGAAGACTTTGACCAATCTTTGTTTCTAAGAAAATGTCTCTTTTTTTCTCCCAGTCATTCACAGAACCCAGCCATGGTTTCATGGGCACATTTCTAGAGAAGACACACAGCGCCTTATAATCCAGCAGGGGCTGGTGGATGGGTAGGTAGCTTGCAATATCTTTTCAATTCATAATGTTTACGTAGTCCTATAATTGCATGCTCAGAAGCAGGTCTAATGCTTGAAGTGAAACTTTTCAGTTCTTTTTTCTACTTCACACACACACACACACACACATATGAATGTTATGTTTGTTTGTGGGATTAACATAACTCAAAAACCACTCAACGAATTGACACCAAATTTGGACACAATACACCAATCAGGCCAATGAGTGACTATCACTCATTAAAACACTGAAAAACACAGCAGAAAAGACTTAAAAAGCCAAAAACTAAAATAAAAAATACATTACATTACAACGTATGTGCATAAATAATAATAATAATAATAATAATAATAATAATAATAATAATCCTTTATTTATACCCCGCTACCATCTCCCAGAGGACTCGGAGCGGCTTACAAGAGGCCGAGCCCAAATACATCAATAAAAACAACACAGCAATACAGACAATAAATAAATTCATAAACAAAGCAATAAACAGTAACTAATACGACAACGCATTGAAAACTTATGGCAGGGCCAAATGTAATGATTAAAATTTTAAAATACTGAGCATGACAAGGTGACATATAACTAGGATGGGTATTTGGGGAGAAATGGAGCGAGCAGACAATCCTAGATCATTAATAAAGTGCGATTAGGGACAAGTTGCTTAGAGTTCCTTATTCTGGGAAGGCACACTGGAACAACCATGTTTTCAGGTTCCTCTTAAAGGCTGCCAGAGTTGGGGCATGTCTAATGTCCTTGGGGAGCGAGTTCCAGAGTCAGGGGGCTACCACCGAGAAGGCCCTATCCCTCGTCCACACCAATCGCGCTTGCGATGGAGGTGGGATTGTGAGCAGGGCCTCTCCAGATGAATGAAGGGATCGTGTGGGTTCGTACACAGAGATGCAGTCACGCAGGTAGGTAGGTCCTGAACCGTTTAGGGCTTTGTAGGTAAGCACCTGCACCTTGAATTGGGACCGGAAATGAACGGCAGCCAATGGAGCTCCTTGAACAGGAGGGTTGACCTTTCCCTGTAAACACATAAATACACATATACACAGATATATACACACATATACACACACATAAAATACATATACACAAACTGGGCCACAACAATGCGTGGCAGGGGACAACTAGTGTGTACACACACACACATAATATACATACACACACATGGAGGGAGGGATTGCTGTTATTATGTGGTAGCATTGGGGGTGTTTTTCAAAGATGTTTTCATTACTTTCCTGTGGTACCACACAACACAGCATTATTTTTTCAAATTATGCTTAATTTTTTTTAAAAAAAAACTATAATAGCCCTACGTATTTTTAAAAACCACAGATGAAAGAAAATATGCAAATCATTGCAATTCAAATGTGGAGAATGTGTGATGCAAAGTGCCAAGAATCAACTATCATTGAAGGAACAGCTAAAGCAATTTTTGAATAGCATAACCTGCCATAACAGCAAGGTCTGGTTGACTTGTGGTTTGTACATAATAGCTAAAGTAATTTGCTGGCACTTTGCTGTTCCCTGTGGGCTGAGGAGGTGATGAGATGCATTGTTGACACCCTTCCTATGACCTCTCGATTGCAGAGTATTCCTGGTACGGGACAGCCAGCGGAATCCCAAAGGCTTTGTCTTGTCACTTTGTCACTTGCAGAAGGTGAAGCACTATCTCATACTTCCGGTAAGTGTTGATAAAGACACCTAGAGCTGCCTTAATCCCCAATCAGTTGCTTTTGCCCACTAAGCCCTAATGCAACCTAGTTTAGAATGTCAGTAGCAATCCAGGTTCTCCAGCGAGGATCTTTCAGGATTTTACTACCTAAGATCCCTCTGGAGCCATCCATATGAAAATTGATTACTGTATTGTCGAAGGCTTTCATGACCGGAATCACTGGGTTGTTGTAGGGTTTTTCGGGCTATATGGCCATGTTCTAGAGGCATTCTCTCCTGATGTTTCACCTGCATATATGGCAAGCATCCTCAGAAGTAGTGAGGTCTGTTGGAACTAGGAAAGTTGGTTTTATATATCTGTGGAATGTCCAGGGTGGGACAAAGAACTCTTGTCTGTTGGAGCTAGGTGTGAATGTTTCATCTGACCACCTTGATTGATTACATTCTTTGTTCTTTCCTATGGGAATGAATAATTTAACATAGCACATCCCTCTTATAGTGAGATCACTACACCATGTTTTCTGTTCTCAGTCTCCATGCCAATACTCACAATCTTTTCTGGTTTTCAGAGTGAGGAAGATGGTCGTCTCTACTACACCATGGATGATGGGCAGACTCGTTTTACTGACCTGATCCAACTAGTGGAGTTTCACCAGATCAACCGTGGCATCCTGCCTTGCAAGCTGAAGCACTACTGCACCTCTGTTGCCTTGTGATAGGACATCTTCCTACCCTTCGACCCACCACAGCCATGGCAGGAGGGGAGATGGTGAAGGAGGACTTTAAAAAAAACATGAACTCTGTGCACCAGAATCAACTCCGATCTTACACCTGCTCCTTACTTCAGTCACACTTATTGCAAGTGATCCAGTAAGGCCCTGGTTTGAATCCTCCCATTCATCCACTCAGCAGGAACAATCGGAGCATGATCGGAAGTCACCGCAATGACAACTCTCTACAGAAGATGGGACACTCTTCTTATTGACTTGTGGCTTTCACCTTACCTGGCAAAGAGGGGAATTACACATACCTGCTTGCAAAATGCCCCTCTTCATGGGAGAACTCTTTGCTTGTGTGTGCTCTGTGCCAGACTAGGATTTTGTCACCACATTTAAGAGATTTTGCCACTTCAGTCCTTGCATCTGTCTGCTCCTTAACATGATTCCAAAGGTTCCATATCTTGAGAGTTGTCCTGCAGAGCTGTCAGAGCTTTCTTGGCTTGTTTCAAACGCCTGATCAACTGGAAGAAACATTGGGACAATAGCAATCTTTGATGTATACCCAGGGAACTGATTTTTCTTGGAAATGCCTTTTTTGCTCTGTTAATCACAACTGTCTGCCTTCAGGTAGAGATTTTTTGGTTGCTGTCACATTTGTTTGGCAATGAACTCCTTGACTAGTCTCTGGTGCCAAGCATTACAGTTTATTCACATGGGAAGCCCGTAGTATGGTTTCGGGCAGCAGACTTCATGGGGAAGTAGAGCAGATCTTTAGCTGGGAGAAAGGAATCCAACAGCATGTGGGATAATAGTTAGGTTATACCAACCGTTGCCCAATCAATAGCCAAAACCTGACCTGTAACCTCTTGCAGGCCTACCAGATCAGGATAGGCTAAGGGGCTTCTTAGAGGGGTGGAATAACCCAGGCTGTTTCTACACTTCAGAATAATAAGCATTGGCACCACATTACCTGCATGACTGAATGCTATGATATTAAGAGATTTTGTAATTTTGTGAGGTATTTACTAGGCATTGTTAGGTTTGGTCGGAATTTTCATAATTCAGAATAAATTCGGAAAGATTTGCTTTTTGAAGCGATTTTGAAGTTTTTAAGGAAACCAGAAGTCCTTTTGCCCTTCCGAAGCTTTTTCCACCATTTCTTTTATGAAGCAGTAAGTGAGTCGGAAATGATTTAGCTTTTCCCTGCTTCTGGTCTGGGAAGCATTTTAAATCAGACTGGATGGATTTCCTGCCTTTCCTCTCTCCTCGCTTCTGGTCTCCAGCCTTGGAAGCGTTTTAAACCAGAGTGGATGGATTTCCTGCCTTTCCTCTCCCCTCACTTCTGCTCTCAAGCCTTGGAAGCATTTTAAACCAGAGTGGATGGATTTCCTGTATTTCCTCTACCCTCGCTTCTGGTCTCAAGCCTTGGAAGCATTTTAAACCAGAGTGGATGGATTTCCTGCCTTTCCTCKCCCCTCGTTTCAGGTCTCAAGTCTTGGAAGCATTTTAAAACCAGAGTGGATGGATTTCCTGCCTTTCCTCTCCCCTCGCTTCTGGTCTCAGGCCTTGGAAGCATTTTAAACCAGAGTGGATGGATTTCCTGCCGTTCCTCTTCCCTCGCTTCTGGTCTCAACCTTTGGAAGCGTTTTAAACTAGACTGGATGGATTTCCTCCTTTCACTCCCCCGCCTTCTGGAGTAAAACAACTACTTTCAAAGTAAAGACCACCCAATGAAACAGGAAATAACACTTTCAAACCATTAAAGAAGGATTCAGAAGTCTGAAGTTTCAAAAAAGTTTTGAACATTTTTTTCTGTGAAAATCAGAATTGACTTCCAAATCGAACCAATAGGAACACATCCAAAATGAGTTTTGAACCATTTTTAAAATCAAACAAGCCTAGTATTTACCCTTCGCTTTTAAAGCACTCTGGTGCCATAACAAACTTCAAGTCCCAGGATTCCATAGGATGGAGCTATTTCAGCTAAACTGCTATAATTCTGCCGTGTGGATAGGAAGCCAGAATAATATCTTAGCTCTAGAAACTCTTCAGTCTGGAAAAACAACAGAACACAAATCTAATAGTCCTTGTTTTCAGCCCTAGTGGTGCTATTAAATCGAAGCAATTTTCATTTTAGCCTATTTTAATATAAAAAAGAGCAGAGGGAAGAAGAAAACGGAGTCTGGGAGTGCCTTTAAGATTAAGCAATTTGTTACAGCATTGTTGAGGGGTGTTTTTGCTCCTGAAAATTTCATCTGAAGAGATAGGCTGTAATTCACAAAAGCAGATATTGCAATAAATAAGTTGCTCTTAAAGATTCTTCAAGAGTCTTTTTTTTAAAAAAAAAAATCCCTTCTTTTTATATAACCTCTAAATATCAGGACAAGACAAAGAATTGAGGTTGCAATAGCTGTTTTTCAATTGGAAATATCCTGGGGTTGAGAACAGGCAAAGCAAGAACGTTCTGTCACTGTTATTGTACAAATCTATAAGGCCAGTATATATACTGTGATGAATTGTGTATATATAAGTGATGATAATAAATCTTATTTTTTCCATATCTTTGCTTTGGTTTTGTGAATGGGGGTGGTGGGGGAAGAGGAGAGTAATATAACAACAACTAGTTAAATGAATTGCAAATATTACCCTTAAATAAATCAAAAGACTATTTTATTGCTCTATTTCCCCAACACGCTAAACTTTTGACATACAAATACAAGTTTATATTTTATAACTCCATGTTTCCCTGTGGAGATCCCGGTGGCACAGTGGGTAAAACAGCTGAGCTGCTAAACTTGCTAGCCGAAAAGTTGCAGGTTCGAATCCGGGGAGCGGCATGAGCTTCCGCTGTCAGCCCCAGCTTCTGCCAACCTAGCAGTTCGAACACATACAAATGTGAGTAAATCAATAGGTACCGCTCCAGCGGGAAGGTAACGGCACTCCATGCAGTCATGCTGGCCACATTACCTTGGAGGTGTCTACGGACAACACTAGGTCTTCAGCTTAGAAATGGAGATGAGCACCACACCCCAGAGTCGGACACGACTGGACTTAATGTCAGGGGAAAGCCTTTACCTTTACCTATGTTTCCCTGTCCTTAAGACCTTTTGTGGCAGAAATCGGGGTAAGACAATACTAGTCTCCCCTCGCTGCCATTTTGTCATTGGCCTCTGACCTTACAGTGTTTGTTTCCAGATTTTTTCCCCATATCAGGAGCAACTTAAGAAACTGCATGTTGCCTCTGGTGTGAGAGAATTGGCCATCTTCAAGGATGTTGCCCAGGGGATGCCCAGGTGTTTTACCATCCTGTGGAAGGCTTCTCTTATGTCCCTGCATGAGAAGCTGGAGCTGACAGATGGGAGCTCACCTGGATTCAAACCGCCGACCAGCAGTCCTGCCGGCACAAGGGTTTAACCCAGGGATCCTCAAACTAAGGCCCAGGGGCCGGATGCGGCCCTCCAAGGTCATTTACCCGGCCCTCGCTCAGGGCCAACCTAAGTCTGTAACGACTTGAAAGCACACAACAACAATAACAACAACAACAACAACAATCCTATCTCAGCCAAAAGCAGGGCCTCATTTCCCATAGAAATACTAATAAATTTATATTTGTTAAAATTGTTCTTCATTTTAATTATTGTATTGTTTTTAAGTGGTTTTTGTACTACAAATAAGATGCTGTTATACAATTAACAAAAATAGACAGTACAAGGCAAGGCTTCCTTCTTTTTCATTTCTGGCATCTGGAGGCCGTGCTCAATTCGGCCACGGGGAGGTGCTGTTGTTCCATTTTCCATGCTGAGGAGCCTGTTGTCCATGGACGCCTTCCTGATCAAATTGCTGGCATGTCTTCAGGGGCGCCTTTTATCTTCCCACCAAAGCAGTAGCTGTTGATCTACTCACATTCTGTTTTTGAACTGCTAGATAAGCAGAAGCTAGGGTGGATGGTGGAAGCTCACCCGACCCATGGCCAATCTTCCGATCAGCAAGATTTTCTGTAGCTGGCGGTTTAACTTTCTGTGTTAACTGCAGCTCCTAGTGAGTTTTCATGATTGAGTGGAGAATTGAACCCCGGTCTCGATAATCATATTCCAGCACTCAAACCAGTACACTTTGCAGTCTCATTTGCATTGTGAGCATAACATATAGCCAAACTTTTCAGGAAAATCTTCAGGATCAGACATTGCTGTTGTCCATGACAATTAGAACCTTGATAGATCTGCTACTGCTATCCACTAAACCAGAGGTCCTCAAATGCAGGCCCAGGGGGCCGGATATGGCCCTCCAAAGTCATTTACCCAGCCCTCACTCAGGGTCAACCTAAGTCTGAAATGACTTGAAAGCACACAACAACAACAACAACAACAACAATCCTATTTCATCTACCAAGAGCAGGTCCACACTTCTCATTGAAATACTAATAAGTTTATATTTGTTAAAATTGTTCTTCATTTTAATTATTGTATTGTTTTTAAGTGGTTTTTGCACTACAAATAAGATATGTGCAGTGTGCATAGGAATTCATTCATTTTTTTTTCAAATTACAATCCGCCCTCCAACAGTTTGAGGGACTGTGACCTGGCCCTCTGTTTAAAAAGTTTGAGGACCCCTGGTTTAACCCATTCCACCAGATGTATTCAAGGGAACTACATAGCTATGGGTACCATCATGTGAAGAAGGTAATCAGAACCACGTGTTTCTTGCAGATCCTCCCATGTAGCTCCACAGCCTTTATTTGGCCTGGCAATCTAGCATGATAACTCTAGAAGCAACACATGATGGATGATGCTCCTTGCAAGGCATTCTGGGGGGTAGGTAATTTTACCTTTTCCCATCCACTTCCCTGCCAGGTCTTGTGGTTTTATTTATGCATCACGAGTGGTTAGGCCTGGAAGGGATTAGGTGGGATTTGCCGTGCAAATCCACTTGGGGTTTAGCAAGGGTCAGGCGATTAAAGCCTTGGATATTGGCCAGTGAGCTCTCAAACTGGCCTTTTAAAAGATTCTTGAAGAGGGACCCTCTGGGGAAGATGTCAGGGCAAACTTCCTAGCTGCTAGGAAAGCACACAGCCTTTTCAAAGGGGTTCTAGAAGCCATTGCCTCATACTTGGAGGTCACGCGTCTCTTCTCAACTGAGGTCCAAGATGGTTTGCAAAACAGTTCTGATCACCGGTTGCTCCTCTGGAATTGGACTGGCTTTGGCTGTGAAGTTAGCACAGGACAAGCAGAAAAGGTTCAAAGGTGAGTTGGCCTAATCTTTGAATTTCTTCTGTTTCTTCCCAACATTTCCTCCTATGCTATCCCAGCTAGCCAGAGGAAGAAGAATTTCCTAGAACCCAAAATCTTGTTTAGCCAGGTGGGAGATAAAAGTACACTTTAATTCAAGTAAAGGCATTTCCCAACTGTTGGTTGAGAGCCCCCCCCCCCCCCGGGTCATGATCCAACATTACTATTACTATTACTATTATTGTTATGTATAACATATGTAACTAAACCACAAGAAAGCCTCATCTATTAGGACTAGTTTTGAATATTTTATAGAATGGGCATGACATAAAACAGATGCAGGGATAGTAAGTTCTTTCAATGCAACTATACAAATCTTTTTTGAGTGTATGATTCTCATTTTTTTTACTCGTTTCTGAACATACTCCAACTTGTATATATCCTTTTAAATATAGAATCCTCATGGGCCATCCAATCCAACCCCCTACCAAGAAGCAGGAAAATTGCATTCAAAGCACCCCCAACAGATGGCCATCTAACCTCTGTTTAAAAGCTTCCAAAGAAAGAGCCTCTACCACACTCCGGGGCAGAGAGTTCCACTGCTGAACAGCTCTCACAGTCAGGAAGTTCTTCCTAATGTTCAGATGGAATCTCCTTTCTTGTAGTTTGAAGCCATTGTTCCGTGTCCTAGTCTCCAGGACAGCTGAAAACAAGCTTGCTCTGTCCTTCCTGTGACTTCCTCTCACATATTTATATATGGCTATCATGTCTCCTCTCAACCTTCTCTTCTTCAGGCTAAACATGCCCAGCTCTTTAAGCCACTCCTCATAGGGTTTGTTCTCTAGACCCTTGATCATTTTAGCCACCCTCCTCTGGACATATGAACCACTCAGGATCTCCAGATGAGGCCTGACTAGTGCCAGATCATTTTTGCATGCAATATTGCTGAGCCATGTATCCTGCATCCTATACTTGCGTTTTTGTTTTTTTGTGGTCTAAATGTGCACTTTTGAATTTTTGTCTATGTAATTATTTTATTGCATTCTGCCTAGTTTTTAGTCCTATTGAATTCTGTTCATGTCTTCCAATGTATTAGCCACCCCTCACATGTTTGTGCCACCTTCAAACGTGATAGGATTTTCTCTACCCTTGTCTTCTAACACATTGATAAAAATGTTCAAATGTTCAAATGGCTCTAGGACAGTGGTTTTCAACCTGTGGGTTCACGGATGTTTTGGCCTTCAACTCCCAGAAAACCTAACAGCTGGTAAACTGGCTGGGATTTCTGGGTGTTGTAGGCTAAAACATCTGGGGGACCCACAGGTTGATAACCACTGCTCTAGGATAAAATACTGAGGCACTGCACTTGAAACCTCCTTCCAGCCATGTATGACAATTCCTTAAGAATTTTTATACGACCAATTATGGATCCCTCTTACCATTTATTCCACATTTAATCAGCTTGCTAATCAAAATTGTTGAAAAGTTACCTTTTGAGGCCATAATCCATGGAATCCACCCAATCAACATAGCCACTGGGCATGCTGGCTGGGGGATTCTGTGAGTTGCTTTCCAAAAATGGACTTTCCAAAGGTCAGAAGTTTGAACTGAATAATGACGTTTCTATGTTCCAGTGATTGCCACAATGAGAAATTTGTCCAAGAAGGAAAAGTTAGAAGCAGCAGCAGGCTATGCCCTCCACAAAACTCTGGAAATCAAACAGCTGGATGTCTGCGATGAGAAATCCATCCGCAACTGCATCAACAGTATTCCCCAACGGCACATTGACATCCTCAGTAAGTACTCAAACCATTTGCTGGATCACCCATCTCCAGGGATGAGATTTACAAAGAAGAGATATGTAATGGAACCAAGAGGCCCCTAAATATGCGTGAAGCATCATACTTCAGGTGTCACAGCAAACGCAAGGGGACAAATGTTTAAGGAGCTTGGTACACATTCAGATATTGACCTGGGTTGACATTGTCCACAAGTACACTAGTTCCTATAGTGGATGCATTAAAAGGGTAGTGAATTTTAGTCTGAACTATAAAGGAACTATTTAAGGTATTGAGAACTGTATAATAATAATAATAATAATAATAATAATACTTTATTTATACCCCGCCACCATCTTCCCAAGGGGGCTCAGGGCGGCTTACATGAAGCCAAGCCCAACAAATACATCAATAAAATAAGAAAACAAATAAGCATCTAAAAATGCAATATTATAAATAACATATAAGCAGTAACACACAAGAAACTTGTATTCCCATTCACAGTCCACTAGTGTGAAACCAAGCCGCTGGCACTGAATTTCATCACACACAACCATACCTATCCTACCTCTTATTTTATAGTGTATTATACATGTGTACTTTATCTGAGAATCAGACCTCACAACCTCTAAGGATGCCTGTCATAGATGCAGGCAAAATGTCAGGAGAGAATGCTTCTAGAACATGGCCATACAGCCCGAAAAACCTACAACAACCCACTGAGACTCAATTGTTTAAAAATTCAGATAAAATTGTTTTTAATCAAATCAATATTTATTTTTTATGTTAAAATTCATTAAATGCCAATATTCTCATTTGAGTCATGGCTACCATTTTGTTCAGTGCCTTTCAAGTCGCCCAGTCTTCTGTGTGCCCAGGAGGGAGTCTCTCATTTGATATCAGCCATAGATTGAGGTTCTGGGTTTTAACCTGCCACTTTTGAACTCTCACTTGCTGAGGTGTTTCTGCAAGTTTCTCTGTAGAACTTAGAAAGCTATTTCTTGATTTAAGGCATTGGCATGCTGGCTGATATCCGAACAGGGGATGGACTGGAGATGTCACTGTCTTGATCCTTTCGTTATTGGCTGCTACTTCCCGGTGGATGTTCGGTGGCACAATACCAGCTAAACAGTATAATTTCTCAATCAACAATGAACATTACTCATTGTAGTGCATTAAAATTGCTATGTATACTCCTCAGAACTTCTTGTCCATGTGTGTGCCCCTGAGAACATTATCCCTATGCCCATGAAGACCCAACTCTCTCAGTGCCATATTATGGTTGGCATCCTGTTGACAACATACTAGTTAGGTGAATTTTACACCTGTGTATGTCTCTTTTGGGTTGTTGCTCAAGTTGGTATAGTGGGCCTTTGGCATCTGCTGAGGTTTGATTCCAGGAACACACACATGTTCGATACAAAAATCTGGGGATGCACAAACCCCATTATATACAATGGTGTAGTAAAATGGTAAACAACTCAAATGAGTACTGGAGAGAGTCTGAGGATCTGTTAAATGGCAGGAGGCTACAGCAGGGAATGCCTACATATTGGCATAGTATGCTGCATGCATGTTAGAAATATTTTCTGAATATTTTCAGCTTCTGGTTGGTTGAATCCCCACAAACATCTCCTAGTTACCGAGTTAAAGTAACCAGGACTCTTGAACAAAGTTCAGCATAATTCCTTGGGACTGATGAGAATCCAAGGCATCCCTTCTCTTGCTATTAGATGGAATAGGTTAAATGCTAGGATATGATAGTGTTGTCTCTATCTAGAACACTCACGTGGAATTCCATGTATTTCACATGATTTAGAGACTAAGCCTGAGATAATAGACACCCTTCCATAAGGTCATTTATTGATGATGAAATATCTTTCATATTTTCACTTTACAGACCCAAAGAATGTGAACAATGCTCCTAGAGTTTATACAAAACACATCCTGAGATAGCCTCAATTAATTTGAATGCATTCCAAAGAGCCTATTAGATTTGGACTGAGGTCAAGAAGAAAAAAAAGAGGGGGAAAATGTTACATGGTCACATTCTTTTGATATGAGTCTTGTATATAGGTCATGCTTTGATACCAGGAAGGGACAACAGTGATATAAATGGAGTAGGGCATTTGTGTGGGTGGATTGTCCTCTGAAACTGTGGAACAATAGTGTCCAATGTGAAATATTTGCACGCACATCTTTGGCCAATTCTGGAGTGATTCTTCTTCTTACACCAAGCCAATTTCACAGTCTTCCAGATTGGATTAGGAACTAAATGGCCAAAGCAAACCAACTGTTGTTGACAAATCCCTGTTACAGAATTGGGGGATGGTTTAACCCATCAGGTGTGTTCTCTATATTTTGCTACTTGTTATTTCTCCTGTGGATATAAACAGATGTTCAGAGACCAAGAGGTAGCTGCTTTGATCATTTGAGGATTACAGACTGAAGAGGTGAATCAGTGAAGTATATGAACAGGACAAACACATATAATACATAGGCCACACATATAATGGAATTTTCTACTGCAAGATGTCATGTGGGCCACCAGCCTGGATAGCTTTAAAGGGAGATAGGAAAGATTCATGGAATTTAATGGCAATGGTAGCCTCTAGTTCCTATGTCAATGAGATAGTAAATGTGTTACACAATCACTCTGAACTTTAAAGGACATATCCAGGATACCAGAAATAAGGTTCAGCACCTTGGATAGCTATGTCAAAATTTGGATTAAATATGAAGTGGATTTATCATTCCATTGACAGTGATGCTATCTGCTGCCATTGGGTTAAAGCTGTTTCTGGCTACTACACATATTGGCCAAATATTACCTTCAGCATCAATAGTAAATTCAGCAACTGCAATATAATATGCATAGAGCCAACAGCCAGACGTTTTGATTATATACAATGCCAGACCCTGAGAACATAATTTGGAACAACAAACAAGATCTGATTATTTTCTGTGTTGGTCACATAGACCCTGGGTATCATCATTATCATCATCTATATTGTTGTGATCTAGGTGAGCTTTGCTTAGGCTATACTTGATGGAAGACCTTCAGCTAAGCTTCCCATACACACATACGTGTATGTTGACCTAAGTTGATGCCTATTAGATTGACTGTATCTAAGGCAGAGCTGAACTTTGAACATGCTAAATTACCATTGCCAGGCCAGTTCAATTTTTTTCCATTGAGGCAAAGGTCAAGTTGGGGCCTACTCATTAATTCCATGTGCAGTTCAGCAGGTGCTGTGAGCAGATGATGTTGAGAGATAGGTAGCTGGAGGACAGAGGTGTGTGTGCCAGAGAGCCACTTGAGTTCTATTCCATCTAATTTGCTACTTTCAGGTACAGTGAAGGAGACTGTGCTGTCATCAGTTGGGTTGAAATGGATCTGCCAGTGTGAGTCATTTCTATACATGGAATGAACAACTAGGCCTCATCTTGACCTTTGTTGCAATGGAAAAATGTTTCAAGATGTCCCTGGCAATGATCAATTCAGCTTGTCCAAAGTTCAGAGATTATGGGACTTTTAGTCCAACAACATTTATTTATTATTTATTTATTTAGAGCTTTTATAACCCGGTCTTCTCGACCTCTGAAGAGGGACTCAGGCCGGCTAACAGCAGAAAATTCATACACAAATAGAATAAACATAATAGCATCATAATACATCTAAAGGGCCATTGATTATTCAGTATCAGATGACATCATTCTCCATTGTCTGTTCCTATTTGATGTTCATTGGATACTAGAGGTTAACAGTAAGAACTTTTGGCTGTCTCTTATAGTCAATAACGCTGGTGTTGGTCTCATTGGTCCCATTGAGTGCCAGTCTATTGAGGAGATGAAGGCCATCATGGAGACTAACTTCTTTGGTGTGGTGAGGATGATCAAGGAGGTCCTCCCTGACATGAAGAAAAGGAAAAATGGTCACATTGTGGTCATCAGCAGTGTCATGGGTTTGCAAGGTAAGCTTTTGTTTGCTTTGTCCCTGGAGCTTTGTTCACACACACGCCAAAGCATCCCTTCATATTCTATGAGCCCCAGTCTTATAGAACTTTTAAGCTGTAATCCTAAACTCGTTCACTCATAAGTAAAACTGACACAATGGGGACTACTTTTAAGTAAGCTATATAGGACCACCCTGCATAAAATTCCTGCCACAAACCTTCTTCCAAGATTTTTCTACATTTGGTGGTCTTACAACCTGGAATTGAAATATAGGTTGAATATTCCTTATCCTTGGGACAAAAGGTGTTTCATCTTCTGGAATCCTTGCATATACATAATAAGATGTAATGAAGATGGGACCCAAGTTTAAACACAAAAATAATTTATGATTCATATACACCTTATACACATAGCCTAGAGTTAACTTTGTATATAATATTTTAAAATCATTTTGTGCATGAAGTAAAGTCTGTGAACCATCAGAAAGCAAAGATTACACATTCTCAGCCACCCATGTGGACAACTTTGGATTTTATCATTCTAAATTTTAATTGGCTTTGTTCCCACTTCTTTCTTTCCTTTATTTATACTCCGTCTTTCTCCCGGTGGGAACTCAAGGTGGCTAACAATCCATATAGTTTTAAACCACAGTACAAAAATAAAAAGCAATTAAATAATTCATATGGATTAAGGTAAAAACAGATTAAAATATAATAAATGCATTTGACATTTGACACTGATACATATACACACGCACATACAAAGTGTTCCTCCCTACTTCACGGTTCGCTTTTCGTGGATTCTCTGTTTTGCGGGTTTTTGCCTCCTGGCAACGATGGAGTGTGGAAGGGAGTTTCACCCTCACTCTCAGGAGAGAGGCAACTAATCATCAAAAAGAGAGAGGAAAGATACAAAGCAGTATGTAAATCATGGCCTTATAGCCCCTTCCTTATAGCTAACAATAAAAAGGTGTGCAGTGCCTTTAAATCTCTCCTCGCTTTTCCCTCGGAATGTGATATATCTATATCTATATCTATAGCTTCCCTACTTCACAGATTTTCACTTTTCGCGGGTGGTCCTGGAACATAACACCTGCGATAAGTGAGGGAACACTGTATATATCACATTGATGTGTATTAGAAATGGTGTATGTGGTCCATGATAGGCTTCTGCTTATTTTGCAATGGACCCGAGACCCTCTACAGAATACAGAATAGCCCAATGTGGAATGTGTTACTCACATTTGTCATTGTACTTGGGTGATGGGATGGCACACATGTGGATTTACCAGTTTGTTTATTTAGTTACACTACAATTGTAAACAAATATAAATAAATAAAACTTTATTTGTATACCGCCCTGTCTCCTCAAGAGGACTCAGAGTGGTTTCCAGCATACGGCAAAACATTCAATTGCCCAACGACACAAAAACCATAGAAAAAATAAACATTTTAAAACATAACATAAACCCTGTAAAAGGCAACCACGAGCATTAAAAGCCAGTTTTAGTTTTACTCTATTAGACGAGATTCGAGATACCAATAGCCAGAATTACAACATGGACCAATAGTATCCAATGTAGGGATTGCATATTGCAAGTGGAACAGAAGAACACTGGAGGTTAATTATGATATGCTGCAGTAATGTGTGAACTTGGACCTAGTGTCTCATTTATAGGACCACAAAGAGGGGCACATGATTAATGCCTCTTCTCCCCATAGAAGAGGCATTTTGTACTGGCAATTGTGGAATCTTTACATCTTGCCATACAAAAGCAAGCTAACCCTGTTGGGTCCCTAGGCGGTTGGACAACTTGGACTTCATCTCTACTTTTTGGCCTCTCTCTCTCTCTCCAGGTATTGTGTTCAATGATATCTACACAGCCTCCAAATTTGCTATTGAGGGCTTCTGCGAAAGCCTCGTCATCCAGGCGCTCAAGTTCAACATCTTGTGAGTGGTTAGTTGTTTTTTAAAAGCCCAATTTGCTTGCCTTTGGTGGCAATATATATCCTAATCCTTCTCTTGCATACCACACATGATAAGTTTGTAATATAACTTTAACAGCTTGGGTCCATTCTGTGCAAGAGTGTCCATAGCTTTGTGAGATGGATACCTAAAATCGTGGATAATTCCAAACCTTATATACTTGGGCTGGAAGCATACTATACAATCACACTGGAAAATCTAGAAAGGCCCACAAACACTTCTGTGGGGTGATTTTTTAAGAGCATGATTAATTGAAATTGTGGCTATTGAATCCATGGAAGTAGTTAGTATGTGTAATTTTTGTACACATTCCCAATTAGCCGTCTTTGGCTGTATTTTTGAATTGTACAGATTTTTAGACCTTTGCTTTTAAAAATGCACCCGGCTTTTTGTGCACATAAGTCATACTGCAAGATACACAAATGAGCACATTTGTGAGACATAGTATGCTTTCTCCTACAAGGAATTTCCTGAGGTGCAAAACTTGATATTGCCACAATTATTTTTTAAGCCAGAGGCAAGGTGGTTTTGTAGCACATACCTTACATGTGTTTATGTAATGTGTGTGCATCAAAATGGGCCATTGTTCCCCAAATTCTCTTTTCTCATAAAATATTCCACAAATTTGTAGCATTTTGGTACCTTAAAACTTCTGCTGAACATGTAGAAAAACAGTTTAGACATTCAAAAGAGAGAAGCAGGAAAAGTGACTAATGGAATGCAAACACAACAAATGAAATTATTCTAGAAGATAATAATTCTTTATGTCTGAATTTCTGCAATGCTAGAAATTTGGGAACTGAAGGAAAATATGGGTTGTTGTAGGTTTTTTCGGGCTATATGGCCATGGTCTAGAGGCATTCTCTCCTGATGTTTCACCTGCATCTGTGGCAAGCATCCTCAGAGGTAGTGAGGTCTGTTGGAACTAGGAAAAAGGGTTTATATATCTGTGGAATGACCAGGGTGAGACAAAGGACTCTTGTCTGCTGGAGCTAGGTGTGAATGTTTCAACTGACCACCTTGATTAGCATATAATGGCCTGACAGTGCCTAGAGCAAACTTTTGTTGAGAGGTGATTAGATGTCCTTGAAGGAAAATATCATTTGAGGGGATAGAGTTTTATATAGGAAGGCAATGCATTCATCCCATTCCTTGTCACTTCCCTTGTCTCAAAAAAAGTTGTAGTTAGGGATGCTTGATGAATTTATGTCCACATTTCATAGTGAAATGGCTTTGGGCTTAAAGGCAGGTTGAAATGTACATGAAGTGTCTTTTTCAGGGTAAAATATACTTAGAATTGTATGGTTTGAGAGAGCACAGTATATATTTTTGTGCTCAAAGGTACATAGCTAAATATGTGTTAAATGCAAATATTTGTGCAGATTTCTAAAAATGATGATTCTCATGAAATCTGGACATGCCAATAAATACATATAAAACTGATGGGGCCTGGAAATCAACTGATCCATCTATCCCCAAGGGCAGGACCCGAGCAAAGCTGAAAAGGCAGGTTCTTGCAAGAACAGGTGGCTCTTCAATAATTGATTCTGTTTATGGTTGCTACTCAATTATTTAGTAATAAGACTTTAGCTTTGTTCCGACATTACTCATTACACATTCCTCAACATGAGAGGAAGGGAATGATTCATCTCATTTTCCTGAGAGGGAAACAAATCAGCATATTGCAGGGAAGAGGTTCTCATAGAGGCTTTCCATGCAAGTAAGATCACATATTTTCCAAAGTTCTTGTTCACATGGACACCTCCATCCAAAGAAGATCTCTCCTCTTCAGTTTAATTGCTTTCAGTCTGTGGCAGGCCCATAGCCAGGATTTTGATTTGGGGGGGGGGGGGCTGAACCCCCAAAGCCCCCCCCCCCCCCGGCTACATGCCTGGTCTGTGGAAACGATGGAAGGGAGCAATGCCAAATGTTACTTTGCTGAAGAAAGTATGCTGAGTAATACCTGAACAGAGTTAAGTGAGTAATGGTAATGACTGTTCACTACTCATCTTTTCCATAACCATTGATCTTTCCCATAACGATTAATGTTTTCCATAATTGGTTTTATTAAGAGCCCGGTTTGTTCTTCTCTGTGTCTCTGGAGCTTAATTAAGAAGTCTTTGTCCACATTAAAAATGAATGAAAGGAAGGATGCAGAGCTTTGAAAAGTTACTTTTTTAGGGACTGAAACATTCATGATCTCTGCAGGATTCCTCAAATTTTAATCCAAAAATCAAAACATTCCCAGATTCCTATGTGCTACAAGGCAGCCAACACCCACCAGAAAGAGTCTCATAGAAAAGTCTTGCTCTGACATTTATATCTATGCTTGCTTGATTTGTAGCGTCAGTTTGATAGAGCCAGGTCCAGTGGTCACTGAGTTTGAGATGAAGGTCTATGAAGATGCGGAGAAGGCCGACTATTCCCAGACTGATTCTGAAACAGCTGAGATATTCACCAAGATCTACCTGAAGAATTCCAAGGCCATCTTCTCCAGCTTGGGCCAAACCCCAGAAGATGTGGCTGAGGTGAAAATCTAAATATCTTGTTAACACATGCGAGGAGGTAACCACAATGTATTGTACTTGCAGAATTAGTGTATATCCTAGGCAGCGGATCCTTGAAGGGAAATGCTTGTGCCTATTTCCGAGTATATATAGAGAGATTATACTCCTCTGATGTACAATGAGGAAAAGAAGTAAAAAGCCAGAGATGTGTGTTGTTGGTTGTTCTATAATTTAGATCAGATTTTCTGGCATAATATTGGCAGGTGTTTCTTCTAGAGTGAGGCCAAAGATGGCACAGAAAAATAATCAACTAAGACATAACAATAAACACAATTGGAACCATCACATTGAAACAATATAGAACCATTAAAGCATATTAGCATGAAAAATAAAACAGCAATAATATCTGTGAAGGCGGGATAATTGTCAGTGGCTAGAAGACAGATACAGACTGCTGAAGGGCCAGATAGATTGGTTTTCTTGGAGCTGGAGGAGCACTGTGATGAGATTTCAGGACATTGGAAAGCAAAGTGACAGAATTTCAGGGGCAACATGTTGGAGGAAATGTTTCAAAGTAATTCCTGACATATCATTTGTGTCACTCAATCAGTGAAGTTTATTTATTCATTCATTTATTTAGAGTATTTATATTCTGCTCTTCTCACCCTGATGGGGACTCAGGGTGGATCACAGAACATAATATGTGACAAACATTCAATGTCATTTTATACACAGACAGACAATTATACATAGATAGAGGCATATATTGGCTTTCCCCATCTTTGGCATTTTGGAGGCTTTGTGCTTGGTTCTGGCCATTGGGGTGTGTGTGTGTGTGCTGTCACTCCAATTCCCTGTTGAAGAGCTTTGTTCATGCTTCCTCCTTTGATTAAATCACCGGCATTTCTTATGGGTGCCTCAGAATACCTCCCTGCTTTTAGGTGGTACCTATTTATCTACTCACATCTTTGTTTTCAAATTGCTTGATAGGCAGAAGCTGGGCTAAAGCCAGGAGCTCATCCTGACCTGGGCTTCGAACTGGCAGCCTTTCGACTGATAAGATTTACTGCAGCAGGTGGTTTAACCTGCTGTGCCAAAGCCCGGCTGTAGTTGAACAGTAATTACTATTTCCTCCTCTCCTTTCCTCTTTTTTCTTTTCATTTCCTCCTTTCTCCTTCCTTCATTTTTCTCCTAACTCATTTTTATAGTTAACTTACCAACTTAAGAAAAAACTCAGTACCTTTCATGTGCTGCTGAATTGAAATGTTTCATAAAAAAGTAGCACACTTCATCAGCTTGCAATGTTCACTGCAACATTGGCTATGGTCCTAACTATACTGACTATTTAGTGCAGTTCGAAGCTATCTTCAAATTGTGGCAGCCAAACAATAGACTCCCACAATAGTGTGTGAACGAAAGGCTTTAAGGTCCATCAGGGCTTTGAGGTTTGTCTGCGTAATCACCATCCTGGCCACAAACTGGTCCCGGGATTTCCTATGTAATTATCTGCACAATGAAACCATTTTCTTCAATACTGGTTTCTAGAATCCAATACATATTACTAGATAATATAACTTAGAGTTTAAGCGTGGTTGACATCAGAATAGCTGCCTCATTACCACCCCAGTAGCTGTAGAATACGCCTTGGGTTGTCTAATGCATGAAAAATAAAACAAAGTAATGGAGACACCCTACCATTTTGGGATCCTTCTCCTTTCTCCTGCTAAAACTACCCATTTTAAATCTATTTTCCTTCTTTCATTTATAATACCCTGCTTGTTTGGAAATGATTCAGTTCCATGAACAAATAATCCCACCTAATCCATTTCCAAAGCTTTTTACATTTCTGAGGGCTTAGCTGTGTACTTCAAGGTTTAGATCCTTGTACGCACCCACTTGCAAGCATACAAGGAACCATGGTGATACTCTGAAGGCACAACTGATACCATTACATGGCCTTCCATAACCTATTATGAAACCTATAATATTGAATACATCCTCCTGCAACTGAGACATAGAGAGAATATTCTCTGTACTATTACAAATTTATAGATATTAAAAACAGAGGCATAAACAAGCGTAGAGGGGTCCTCAAGATATGGTGAAAATGTTGGGAGTCTGTAGTATTTGTTTATTTATTTATTATTTATTTACTTTATTTCTATACCGCTTTTCTCAGCCCTTAGGCGACTCAAAGCGGTTTACACAACAATGCAAAATATCACAAAACAGTATAATGCAATTAAAATAGATTATAACATCAACAATTAACAACAGTATAACAATCATAACGCCTCAACAATAAAATCAGAATCCACTCTCATTATCCATTGTTCCGTATTCCTATGTTCAATTTCACTGTTTAGCCAAATGCTTGTTCGAATAGCCAGGTCTTCACCTTCCTCCGAAACGCCAACAGCGAGGGGGTCAATCTGATGTCTGCAGGAAGGGCATTCCACAGCCGAGGGGCCACCACTGAGAAGGCCGTAGTTCTTCTGTTGCTGTAGTTCTTGGAATTCTTCCACTTTCACTGGGGGGTTAGTCACACAGGACCTTCAAGAAAGTAGTACATGAATGAAATAAATACCCCCCCCTCCCTCCGGAAAGAACACCTCTCCTAGGCAATTCTATGGAAAACAGTGGGATTTGACCATCAGCTTGGATTGGAAGACCTACAAATGCCTATAAAATCTCTCCAGGTATCTCTAGATCCTCCAGTGCAAATCTGGAGTTATGGTGGAGGACCTAGAGATTCATAGAAAGAACATATTATTCAAATTCCGAAATAAACAAATCTGCAAAAGTTAAACCACAAATGTGATACACCCAACATTTCTATTATCCTGGACTATTATTGGGCAATTTTAGATACAGGTTGCCACAGTAAATTTCCACCCTTGAGTGATTCTCCTTTTAACTCTAAGGTGTCTCCATCTCTTCTTTCTCTCTTTTGTTTATTTTCCCCCTAGAGTTTTAGCACTATAGTGGGTCAGTGCAATTATAAAAAAATACTAAGAATGAAAATGAATGGTCAAAGATTTTTCCAACCTACAGAGCTTGGGAAAACCCAAAGGGCTTTATCACGAGAACTTGGGTTTGTTTTGGCCAATCTGGGAGAGCCCAGAGTCTGTTAAAGCAGCCTAAAGGCAAGTCTGTCTTCCAAATGTGGAATGTTATTCTACATTTGATTTGTCATTAAATTTGTGGCCAAGATGAACTGAAGGAAGGAGTGAGCCAAGTACCAAGAAGAAGGCAAAAGGGGAATTTGATTTAAACTCACCAGTCAAAACTTTGGCAGCAGATTTATAGTTCCTCTGGAACCATCCATCAGCAGGAAAATGTGCTGAAGAGTTGTCCATACTTTAGCAGGAGATAGCAATGCAAATCTATCCAAGTGCTATTTGATCTGTTACTCTATTTGAGCTGTTACCTTTTTTCTTGGAAAGCCTCCTAACATGAGCTGCTCTGGATGGCATGGAATCATTTAACAGTAACTAAATTGAATCAATACCTACTTACTTCTAGGAAAGTGTGATTCATAGAAGGGTGGTATCCAACCGATTATCCTTAAATGGTGCAGGTTTCTAGGAAGAAAGGATTGTGAGATCAACAAAATTTGAGCCAGCATTTATTGCAGCTTAAACTTGAAATTTGAAGTATATTTATATGCTTGCCTTAATTTGGTATATTGTTGTCCTGTTGTTATATGCCTTCAGATTGACTCAGATCAATCATAGGATTTACTTAGCAAGATTTGTTCAGAGGAAGTTGGCCATTGCCCAAAGTCACCAAGGGGGTTTCCATGGTTGAGTGGGGATTTAGGACCTCATCACATGGCTTTAGGGCTCTGTTTCCATGCGCGGCGGAAATGAAGCTCCACAGAAACCATCACATGACATGAAGGCACATCTGGTGGGACTCCGTGGGGATCCTTTTCCACAGCATAAGGAAACGGAGACCTAAAGCTTAAAAATATGGAAAGACAGGCAGAAGATGGGGAAAGGACATGAGATGACTGGACATCCCAGAAAATGGGTAAATATTTTCTGGGATGTCCACCTTTCCTTCCCTGCCTGTCTGATTTTTTTCATTAATCATCTTTATTTCAGGAATTTTTAATAGACGTACATAAAAAAGGGGAAAAATGGGTAAGGGGGGGGGGGAAGGGGGAGGGGGGGGGTGGAGGTGGGAAAGGAAAAAAGGGGAGTGGGTGGGTTTTGGGTAAACTGTTGGCTTCTGGTCCATTCCGCAGGGTTCTTTTTCCATTTCCTCTTCCTTTTTAATAAGTTCTTAAAGCTTCGGTTCTACTACCTATTCTATAATTTTCCTTCTTACATTACTATCACTTCTTTCTCCTAGATTAATCTGTTTGAGCATCGTGGGTGAGCCCTCTTTCCTGGAGGAATTCTTCAAATAGTGTCCAGTCTGTTTCACATCTTTTTTTCCGGTCCTGCAGTAGGAAAGTTAGGGAGTCCATATCCTTGTAATCCATTAATTTTGTAATCCATGTATCTATAGTCTGGATTTCTTTCAGGTGCCACTTTTGAGCTAGTATTATTCTTGCTGCGGATGTCATATAAAATAATAATTTGTCCTTGTTTCTGCCTAGTTCAAAATCTGTCAAGTTTAATAAATAATATTCAGGCCTTAATTCAAATTTCACTTTTATTATCCTTTGACAGTGTTCATGTATCTTTTTCCAGTACTTCTTCACTTCCTTACAGTCCGACCAAGAGTGGAAGAAGGTCCCCAGTTTCTTTCCACATTTCCAACATCTATTGTTATAGTTCTTATAGTACCTTGCTAGATTCTGAGGTGTTAAGGACCATCAGAAGAACATCTTGTACCAGTTTCCTATTACATTCATCGATCTCTAATATTTTAACTTGGCATTCCATATTTTCTCCCAGTCATCTTCCCTGCCTGTCTGATGAGCTCCTGTCTAGTACTCAGATTACTACACTATGCTGTATTATAAAATCCCTAGCCAGAAGTGCCATGGAGATGACTGCCTCAGTCAAAAATACCTTAATACACTTTGGGAAGAGTACTGAGATGAGAAAGTCTATTCTGCATTGGGGAAGGGTGAGTCAAAGTTTGCAGACTTTTACAAGGACTCTATCTGTTTTCCCCCACAGCACACGTTGAAGGTCATCACCACCGCCAAGCCACCCTTCCGTCACCAGACTAATGCCATCTATACACCCATGACTGCCCTCAAGCATGCTGACCCCACTGGGGCCCTGATGACTGACTCCTTCTACAAGATGGTCTTCAGATATGACACCCTTTTGCATGTCAGCTTGAAGGCCATCCGGCTCATCCGCTGGCAAGCCCACAAAATGAGACAAGGGGCCAGGCTATTGGGCTTCAGATGAGGTGCTTCAGAGGCTTAAAGATGAGAGTTTCAAGGAGAGGAGAGACCAGGAGGCAATACCAAGAGACCCAATCAGGAGAACATTTCAAGGATTTGTTTCATTATGGCAGATTTTCTGTCTGCAATTTTTAAATGTTCATAACATTTAGTTGTATCTTCACACCACATCAGGGTGGATAACTGTGGAAGGCAAGGAGACAGTATTAAACTTCTAGGATCCATTAGATGGTCACATCACCCAAGCTAGTTTTGCAAAAAGTGTTTATAACAATTGCCTCAAGGGCCCCTGAGGGACCTGAGGTATATTTTCATCATGATGTTGGGCCTTCTATTTAGGTCCAAATAAGTTGAGATAACAATAGGAAATAATTGGAAATCGCCTCCAAATGTGATGGAAATACACTCCCCCACTACTCCTGGCAGCCATAAAGATGTCTTGGGGGTTGCATATAGACCTCTATGTTACATCTTTAAGTCCTGTTTTGTATATGACTTGCATGCTTTATCACCGTAGCAGGTATCCTATTGGCTTATCTCAACTAGAGCAGACATATTTTTGATCATTTGTTGTATGGTGAGTTGACACAAACTAGAGAAATCCAGTGGATTCAATGGCTCTTCTATAACCAGAACTAACAATAGAATTTAAGCACATGATTTGGGGCCAGAATCCAGTTGGAGCCTTATGCTTGCATTGAAATAACTGCACAAACAGTTGCATTTTGTCAGAGATTATATAAGTGAACCAATGGTTTTACAAGAATATATAAATAAAGCCAGTGAGATATGGTGAAAACTGGAATCCATCAAGGGACAAAATGTTAATGGGTAGGAGGAACTCAGTCCAAGATAAAGTGAAAATGGTCAATTTGACTAATATGGGAGCTTAAATCCGTACTGGATCTGCAAATATAACAACTGGACTTTTTTTGCTGGTTGTAAAACCAGCAATCCTTAATCTACTTTCTAGAGAGCTCCTATTCAACTGAATAAAGTCTGTTTCTAAGTCAATACACTTTCCTGGAGATCATGCAATTGTAAATAGAAAGCATGAGACAGTATGGTGTCACACCATGTAGAGCCCAAGTTATAGTTGTGGGGTTGGACAAGATCTGCAGTTGTGGAAATAAATTTGAGTCCTTCCCAGTTATGATGTAAAAATGTTCTTTACACTATAAAGTTTATGACAGAGTTGTGACTCCTGAGTTTTTGTTTTTTTGAGGAATTGGGTAGAGGTGGTGATGGTGGTGATTGTTGCAGCAAAAAGCAATCCCTTGGCAGTACTAATTTGGAGCATTAATAAGGAAAGAATGGCATTTCAAATCCCTGCTTGACACTAAATGACCCTGTGCTAATCACCTTTTCCAGAGCTTGGAGCATTAATTATTAATAACAAATAATATACTATTTATTTGCCTCCTTTCCTCCCTCCCTTCTTCCCTTCCTTCCTTTGATTCCCCACTCCCATCCCCACCAGCACATTATACATTGCATTAAGAATGATTTATTAGTAACATATTATCTAAACAGCTGTTTTTTAGTTACTTTAATTTTTTTCTTTAAAATTCCATTTAGGAATACCTACATCCCAAATAGCTACTGGAAAAGTAACAAGGCAACTTTTAAAAAGTCTCAAGGTTACACATTGAGGTTAAATAGTGATAACATTACTTGTTGTTGCATTACACTAGTTGCATTACACTAGTTTCTCCACATTTGTGATGGTTTTGGTCATGAGTCTCCTGCAAAAGTGGAAAAAACACAAATAAAATTAAAAGGTTTTGGTTTTTGAAGTGTGGCATTGTCTGATGACAAAACTCTTATCAACTTAGTTACATCTGATGATGCAGAGCTGAAGGTCTAAAACTGAACATCTAGCATTTGATCTAGCATAAAGTTTATGAAATTTGTTCCTGACAGTATTTTGAAGTTTTTAATCAATGAAGCCAAACAACACCTGGAACCACTGGTGAAAATAACTGGTGTAGACAGATTAATATTGATACCTATGCTGTATATGTGCCTTCAAGTGCCTTGTTGATTTATGGCAACCCCACCACAGGGTTTTCTTTGGCAATGGATACACAAAAGTGATATTTTCCAGTTCCCTTCTTTGAAATAAAGCCAACAACAGCTGGAATTCATTGGCAGTGCCTCTAACCAGCTACTTTTGGTCTTGCTTAGTTTCCAAAACCAGATAGGATCTTCTGCCTAGCACTCTTCTTAGAGAAATGTCAGGTGTCCAAGCTGCATTCAGGAAAAGAGGAGGTACTAGGGAATACATTAAGACATATGTTGGATACTGGAGCATACTAAAGAATATGAAAAGAAAATTGGTCAGCACGTTTATAGATTATAAGAAAACCTTTGATCAAGTAGATTATGAAAAACTTTGACTTGGTGTTAAAGAGTATGGCACAATATTTTATTGACCTGTAGTCAGAATAAATGGCCACTATCAGAACAGAATATAAAGAAATGGAATGGTTTCTAGTTGACAAGGGGGGGTCAGATGGGACTGCATTTTATTTCCCTGTTTAATTTGTATACTAAACACATCATACACAAAGCAGGATTAGGCTCAGGAGAAAGAGGTGTGAAAACTGAAGGGCAGAACATCTGTTTACAATATGCAAATGACACCATACTGATAGCTGAAAATAGCAAAGACTATGAATGCTTACTGGAGACAGTTAAAGAAGAAAGTGCCATGTCAGGTTTCCAGGAAACAAAAATAATGACCACAGATTATTTATATAACTTGAAAGGAAACAATATAAACAGCGAAGACACTGAAATAGTTTAAGATTTTTCTTACTGTGGTTCAGTTAGTCCTTAGAATGGAGAATGTTGTCAAGAAATAAAAAAAGACCACAGGATATGGAAGTGCAACTTTGAAAGAACCTGACAAGATCCTGAGATGGAAAGATGGAACAATAAAGTTCAGATGGTCTATGCCATCATCTTTCCAATTTCTATGTATGGTAATGAAAGCTGGATAGCAAAGAAAGCTGATAGAAAGAAAATCAACCCATTTGAAATGTGGTGTTGAAAAAGACTGCCGCTCCAAAGACAAATAAATGAGTCCTAGAGCATATCAAGCCGGAATTCTCCCTAGAAACAAGATGGATAAACTGGAACTGTTGTACTTGGGTATATTATGGCATGAGTCACTAGAAGAGAAAATAATGCCTGGTAAGGTAGAAGTCAGGAAGAAAGAGGAAGGCTGAGAGGAGATATGATAGCCATGTATAAATATGTAAGAGGAAGCCACAGGGAGGAGGGAGCAAGCTTATTTTCTGCTTCCCTGGAGACTAGGACGTGAAACAATGGCTTCAAACGACAAGAAAGGAGATTCCATCTGAACATGAGGAAGAACTTCCTGACTGTGAGAGCCGTTCAGCAGTGGAACTCTCTGCCCCGGAGTGTGGTGGAGGCTCCTTCTTTGGAAGCTTTTAAACAGAGGCTGGATGACCATCTGTCAGGGGTTATTTGAATGCAATATTCCTGCTTCTTGGCAAGGGGTTGGACTGGATGGCCCATGAGGTCTCTTCCAACTCTTTGATTCTATGACTCTATGACTGCATTCCAGGTTGTTGTTGTTTATTTGGTCAGTTGCTTCTGACTGTTTGTGACCTCATGGACCAGCCCATGCCAGAGCCCCGTTGGCCGTCACCACCCACAGCTCCTTCAAGGTCAAGTCAGTCACTTCAAGAATGCCATCCATCCATCTTACCCTTGGTTGGCCCCTCTTCCTTTTTCCTTCCATTTTCCCCATCATCATTGTCTTCTCTAAGCTTTCCTGTCTTCTCATGATGTGGCCAAAGTACTACATCTTTGCCTCTAATATCCTTCCCTCCAACGAGCAGTTGGGCTTTATTTCCAGAAGTGTGGACTGGTTGGATCTTCTCGCAGTCCAAGACACACTCAGAATTTTCCTCCAACACCAGAGTTCAAAAGCATCTATCTTCCTTTGTTCAGCCTTCCTTATGGTCCAACTCTCACATCCATAGGTTACTACAATGAATACCATTGCTTTAACTATGCGGATCTTTGTTGGATATACTTAATTGAGTACATCCAGGTGGATATACTCAATTAAGGAAGCAACAGCCCTGAGTACAAGACCTGAACAAGGCTGTTGGTGATAGAGTGACTTGAAGATCTCTCATAGAATAGAACTGCAGTAAGTTGAAGTTGAATTGGTGGCAATTAACGATGATTACAGAAAGTTCTGAACAAGAGCTGAATCCAACCTAAAATATAAGCTCACCAAATGAAATTTGGATGTGGATGTGTGAGGACATCTAGTGGTCCATGCAGACAATTCTCTTCATTCTTGCAGGCTTTTTATCCTGTGACCTGCAGACCAAATTCATTTCCAGAGTCCTTGTATGCAAATATATCAAGCATGTGTTGCTTTCACTGTGGCTCCCTGGGGCATAGAACAGCTTCCCCATCCCCATTTTTAGACCAGAGGAGTGGTGGGAAAGCTAATAGATAATTTTGTAAGCTTGTGTTTTTGTGGTAAAGCACAGATGTTGCATACACAAGGGTCCCGTGTGCTCTCCTCTTTAGATTAAAACAAGGAGAGGAAGATCAAGTGGTGGAAGCAGTCAGTGTATTTTGGACTAGAGATCCTCAAATCTCTCAGTGAGATGGGGGCTGGGGGTTCTTGAAATTGTAGTCCAAAAGACAAATCTTCCAAGCCTAAGCAAAGAACTCACCCTGTCCATAAGCATGTAAACCTTACAGTGTTAAATGAATGAATAGTTTGGCCTAATCTGAAGCTAGTTGCCTAAGTTCCTTTCTGCTGACACGTCTAGAGATCAGGTGATATGTATGTGGAGTATAGTTACCTACACATTTTTCTCATTTTGGAAGGCTTGTAGGAGCATCACATGTTGCTCACTTTCAGAAGCTAAGATTACCAACCTATGTAAGGCTCAGTGTATGCTTCCCAAAGCCCTTGATGCTGTCATTAGCAAATTTTCAAGTGCAGCTGTCAAGACAGGTCCCACACTGCTCAGAAAGTCCCAAAATGTAAAACTAACTGTTCCCCTCAAACTTTATAGCCGTGGTCACATGAAAGAAATCTCGTAGGAATTCTGTTGCTGATGGATGAGTGCTTCACACATTCATGTGCATGTTTGATCCTTGAGAAAGGAGTGATTCAGTAGCTCTTAGCCTTCCTCCCCATCCCACTGGTTCACTTGAAAAGGGGTGAACTTCTTTAGTTATATAGAGGCCAGGGAAGGAGTAATTGGTTTGTAACTACAGGAGAACTACAGGTGTCCCCAACATATCAATCAGCCTCTTCCATGAATAGACCTGTTGATTAAAGCATTTCCACAGAAGAAAGCATTCATGCAGAATCTCAAGACACAGGGCCCGTCCAGACAGGACCTTTATTGTGGTATTTACCACAATAAAGGAGGGGCTATCCAGACAACGTTCTGGACAGTCCCAAATTAATTCACTACAAATTAGGAAAATCTTGGTTTGTAGCAAACTAATTTGATAGTGGATTTATTCTGCGCCTTCTTAGAAGGCATGGGATAAATACACTGTTTCCGGTGTCTGGACTACTACAGTCCAGGCACTATTCCCACAATTTACTGGGCTAAATAAGCCCGGTAAACTGTGGGAATACTTACCTGTCCCCTTAAGCCCCCAGGCCTCTTAGAAAGGTAATAAAAACCTATGTGGCTTCCATTACAAGCCTCGGCCGGCTTCCCAGTGCATAGAAATGACGCGGCACGAGAGTGGGGAGGGGGGAGGAGGGAGGAAAATCACTCCCCTCCTGCTCTCCTGGTGTGTCATTTCTACACACCAGGAGAGCCGACTGAGGCTTTGTAATAGAGGCCATGTAAGTTTTTATTACTTTTCTAAGGGTTCTGTGGGCTTGGGGGAGAGGGGTACAGCTCCAGATGTTCTCTCGGTCTTTCTGGGTTGGGTGTGGATAGGATCCCAGGAAAATATGTATTTTTAAACATGGATTCTCTTAGGATAAAGACCTGGATCCCCCCATAATTCTCTTGGAGCATTTGCCTTTAAGGCTTCCAGCCTTGAGCAGAGCATCCTAACCAAGGGTACATCTACTCTGTAGAATTAATGGCCATGGCTCACTGCTACGGAATTCTGGAGTATTGGACAACATAAAACCAAATCTGAGAACCCCAAGCCAGGTA